TTTACTTGTATTTAAAAATAACGGTTGCAAAAAATTATGATCTCAAATACTGCAAATACTGCAGAAATCGCATGTCATTGTTTGTAATCACAATTACAATATATTAGTAAACAATGATCAGTTTTAATCTCGATTACACGCAATTTGTTACTGTGTAATCATTATCTTATTCAATTATATTCGTTATCTGACTAGTTTTTATCCCAGTTTTTCCGGAAATTTAAACTAGCTCTGGTTTGTAGCATTTAACTAATTTCTATTAATTTAATTGACGTGTTTTACTGGGAATTTTTTTTTATGAATAACATTAACAAAATTTCATTATTTTTCTAAGAAAAGAAATAGAGGTTAATCATTTAAATTTTTAGTTTCATTTCAAGCTTAACAGGGGGGGNGGGGGGGGGGGGGGGTACATCGACTTAGTTTCGCCCCTCCTGCAAGAATTATAAATGCGCCCTATTTTAGACTTGACACATTATTTTTAAAATTATGATAGATCAGAACAATATGAAGAGACATTCGAGATTATCGGGATGTCAAAATTTTCGGGATTTTTAAAACTTTGAAAATTTGTAGGGATAACCACCGAAAAAAGCTGCATTGATTTAGATTTGGCGCATTCAAAAACATAAATGCGTAATTCGAAATTTCTCTTTTTCTTGCAGAAAGAATTATATAGTTTTATAATGTAAAGGTGCTACCACGGGTCGCAGGTTGTGGTACATGACATGTAGTGTATTATTTCTGTATCATACATCTTCAAACAGCGTGCCCCTACCCTCTTGCGCCCCCCCCCCCAGTGGAGGTTACGGGGATGTTATTTACGCCACTGAAGCTTAACCAGTTTAGTGTTAGTTTCCTCTTATAATAAATAAGACTCACTGAAAAAAAACTTTTAAAACCTTTACACACTTTCTTATAAAATATCTTATTTAGTAGTTAAGAAATATGGACTATATATTTCTTATAAATTACAGATCAGAAAATAAAGGACGTTTCATTCTCCCCCCCTCCCCCATTAAATTTCAATAATTTTTCGTATGCTGCTTAATAGCTTTTCATCAAACTTTTTTTATAAATAAAAGAAATTGTTAATTTACTAATATTCTTGAGTAAAACCATCGTTACCAAATAGGAAAAAAGTATGCTTAGCTTTTAACGTGGTAAATTATTTAATCCGATTTCTTAATGCATAGTTTTTAACTCAAACCATCTCAGGAGGTTTCTGTTTCTATAGTATATGACGCCGATATAAGTATGAAAAATAAAAATCGGAAAGCTTAAATAACTTTGGATATATTGATCATATTTTTCAAGGAACCAATCTCTGACCTAAAAGGTAATTTTTGCGAGCAATATTTTAATATATAAAAAGTGTCTTTTTTTTCTGAATAAACATGCTTCTTTTCAAAAGATACGGATTAGTGAACAAACAATATGGTTTTAATAATAATAAATCAACATTATGGTTCTAATAATTTTGTAAGGGAAGCAGTCAAAAGTATAGAACTGCCGTGCAATAGAAAAATCAACGTGACAAAAAATTCAAAATTGAGATTTTTTATATATTTGTCATCTTTGCATGGTAAACTATATATTGCAAAAAAAATTCCACAAATAAATTTTGTTATATCAGTTTTTTAAATTCTATTTTAGCGTTTCATTAGCAATAAAAAGAAAATAGTTGTAAAACCACTTTTCTCGGAATCAATCGTGAAGCACTTACGTTATCTTTTTAATTGCACGGCAGAGAATAACCCTAAATTTATTTTCATTTTTTACGTATTTTGTCATCTCTAACTATTAAAGCGATGATTTTTTTTCTTCAAGAATTACAAAACTCAAGGTTATTCAAATTCATGGTTATTTCGAATTTTATTCAAGGTTATTTGCAAATGAAAAATAATTTTAATTATTTTTATCATTTAATTATTATCGAGCAAATTTTGAAACGTATGGTACACAAATTTTTACATCATTTTAAGTGACGAAATTTATATACAGAATCTGAAATAAATGTTATCTTTCAAGAACTATTCACTCTGTTTCGCCCAAATTTTCTAATAGTTTCAAATCTAAACTGAAATTCAATGTTTTAAGTAATGCAAAAATATTGTATGTATATCTTACTATTCAAAATATTTTTGACAATTATCAAGCATCAAATAATAAGCCAGTATAAAAAAAGTAATTTCTCACTTGGAGTTTACTTTGGATAAACGACTTTAATGAGTACGTGCAAATCGAATCGGTTTAATAGTTCTTGAGGTATGTCAAAATACGCAAAAAATGAAGAAAAAAATTATGGGATCCAAACTTAAGAAAACTCTTCTCCTAAACTATTTGTACCATATTTTCCAGATTGTAGCTGACCTTCATATATTTCAAAGACATATATTTCATGACAGTCAAAACTCCAAATCTGTCATAAAAAATAAATAATAATTGAAATACATTTTTGTGTTTGATTTCGTACTTCAAAACGCAACTCGTTTATAAAATAAACACCTGGAACTATTTAGTTTCTAGTACGCAAAATCTAATAACTAGATTGAAAGTTATAAAAATGTTTCGTTTACTTATTTCACTTTCATTCATAATCATTTATAAATGTATTTCATGTTATGACTTGGATTTCTGTAAAAGTTTCAGGGCTGCCAACTTTCTATGCTTTTGGTAAATATTTATTCCAGTGGTAGCTAAGTTTATGTTTTAATGCATTATTTTTTTATTTATTTAAACTTATTTTCCCCACAAATTATTTAAAAATTCATATACGACGCCATTTTACTCTAGCTCTCACGTGATTAGGCTCTAAAATTGTTGGCAAAATTACCATAAATTCTGAAAGCTTTGGTTTTTAAATGTGTACCACTCTGTAAAATACTTTGCAAAACGTGTAGTAATTGGCAGGCATGCAGTATAATAAAAAGCATTCATTAATGAATTATTTTACCGCAGCACCATATTTTTCAAATATTTCGTAAACACTTTTTATTGCTAATTTAATATTCTTCTTTAACTCTGTATTCTTTCACTGGTGTGAAAATTATCGAATTACATCTGTTTTGTCTGCTATTTTGTCCTACCGATGAACATACACGACACCGAAACAAATTTAGATTTTCTTTATAAATTGCGATTTTAAACGTTGTTTTTAGCTAATTTTGACACATTGGATTGCTGTCATTATTCTAATACTTGGTCATGATTGTCAGAATATGACCTGATTGAGTTTATCAAGTTGCTTATCTTAACTGATACAAAACTAATTTTGAAAGCTCAAAAACAAGAGATCTAGTGTGGTTATCGATCTGTATCACTGGTAGTTACTAATTTTAGACCTATCACGTCATATTGTATTCATATAGTGAACTCCCCCATAGGGAAATATCCTAAATAACTTTTGCTCAAATGATCTGATTTTCATGAACTAATATCCAACATAAATGGTCTAAAAAACAGATTTCCAATATGATTAATTAGTTAATGCTAACTATTAAATTACCGAAACAGGCGCATAAACGTAATTTCTCTTGATAAACATACTACTTTTCCCATTGGTGTAAATTTTGATCCCGAGTTGGGGGTGCCGCAATCTGGAAAGTATGGTCCATTAGTTTCGTCAGGAAAACAGAGCTCCTAAAGGTTAATTTCACACACTTTTTACATATATTGCAATAATTCGGGAATCTTTTTGTGAATAGATAACATTTTGCACACAGTTATTCATTTATTTATGCAAAAAAAATTTATTCGAACAATATTTTCAAATTTCTGATTTTAATTAATGATAGGCGAAAGCAGTTTGAACTGTCAAATGAGCTGCTGAATTGATAAATTTTTTTATCATTTAAAATTGTGCGATTTCAAATGGCAAAATTTAAATTAAATTAGTCGATTAGTTTGAGTTATAAAATTTGAAAAAATAGTTTTATTAAATTCTCCTTCACAAGAACAATACCTCCCAATTTCCTTTAAATTTTATATTACGCTTAAAAGTTATGAAAATTGTGTATACTTTATAATTCTTTCGACTATTACTAAATGAAATAATAAATATAAATTAAAAATTTTTGTTACAGAATTTTGATTTGTGAATTTAATATGTGCAAATGAATTTACTGAAATAGGTCTCAAGATATGGCAAGAAGTAAAATTAACTCTAATGGGCTCTAATTTTTCGACAGTTCTGATTAAAACTATTGGGTATTTAAATATTCAGAAATCCGACAAAAAAAATTGAAAGGAAATACTTTTTGTGCCGGCTTTTGTAAATTAAGAGTTAGCGGTAACTAATTAGCATATTTGAAGCTGTAAACTATTGTCACTTATTATTAGATGAAAATTCATTCTGAGTCATAACCTTTTTCCTTATTTGCTCACTTTGCAGTTTATGCTCTGTTATATCACTGTTGTTTAAATTAAATATTAACTGTTGGCATTAAGATAAGGATATGAAATTTACATTTCGGCGAAAAACTATGAAAACATGAATACACTTTGAATAATACGATTACATAAAAGTTAATGTATTTGCTTTTATCTGGGTGCAATTTATTTTCCATACTTTAGGATTTATTTCATCTCTAGCAATACATGCTTTAACAATTAGTGGTAATTATTGTAAATGTTGTTCATTTATTAATCAAAAAAGGAATTTTTTTTTTTTAATTTAACAAAACGGATTAAATATTTCAACACACACAGTGTTTATAAAAGTGTCACCAAATATTCCCTATCTGATTCATGCGTATTTACAAAACACTCATGCTATTGCAGAATAGAATCGATCTGACGGATATACAGTCATTGTGTTTTTCCCGCCGAACAACACATGCCGGCTGTAACGCCGAATGAAAAACTACAATGCTCGTTCTACGCGGTTCAAAATTCGCTGTTTTTTGAGTGTCAACAGTCTCTGAATGACTTGGCGAAAAGGGTAGAAAATGTTTGGCGAGAAATCGCCACGAGTAACCCCCATTCTTTGTGAGAGGGAGAGAAGAGCAACTGTCGACGGACTATCCGATTAAACAAAGAAATCACCCGAAAAGTAATGGTTGTTATAAGTGAAACGCTCTTGCCAAAACGTCAGAGTAGACGATTGCACTGAACTTTTCAGTGATACACATTGCTCTCTCATAAGAACTTCTCAAATATTCTTCATTCTTTGAGTTGTATCCATGGCTTATCGTGTTAATACTTGGTACCCAGGTAAATTTATTTCATTCTCAGAATAATTCAAGTAAAATATTTTAAATTTTATTTCAAGATACATTTTCTACGTGGAATAAGATAATCGGTTTCTTTTCTATATTTTCTCTTTCTATGCAAATTCCTATGCAATCTCTTTTCCTAACTTTGCATGCTGATGTTCTTTGCTAATTTTCATGTTAACGTTCTTTGTTGACTTTCTTTGCAAATTTTCATGTTGACTTTGCAAATTTTCATGTTGACTTTGCAAATTTTCATGTTGACTTTGCTAATTTTTCTGTTTACTTTCTTTGCTAATTTTTCTGTTTACTTTCTTTGCTAATTTTTCTGTTTGCTTTCTTTGCTAATTTTTCTGTTTGCTTTCTTTGCTAATTTTTCTGTCTACTTTCTTTGCTAATTTTTCTGTCTACTTTCTTTGCTAATTTTTCTACCGACTGTTCTTTGCTAATTTTTATATTGATGGTTCTTTGCAAATTTTTATGCTGACGGTTCTTTGCTAGTTTTTATATTGACGATTCTTTGCTAGTTTTTATATTGACGATTCTTTGCTAATTTTTATATTGACGGTTCTTTGCTAATTTTCATGTTTACATTCTTTACTAATTTTATATTTTATATGCTAATTTTCTTCATGTTGCGAAAGTTAGTAATTTTTTTTATTTCACAAACTCTACGATAATAATTTATTTCTACTTCTAATCTGAAATTTTATTTAAATATCAATTAGACGTTAAATATTTCAGATATTCGCTTATTATAGTTCAATTTTAATGAGAGACTTAATTTGCCTTAGTATCTACTTTTAATCAAAAAATTTTATATAGTTCTCAAAGCAGTTTTATATTGAACAGTTTCGAATAAATCATTAAAAAAATTCTTTGATTGATTACCGTGAATTTACGCTTCTCAAAAAATAAGTTTATAATGTGTGAATATTCTTGATTTTTAATTTTTAAAAAGCGATGCCACAAAACTTTCATAATATTAAATTTTTGTTTGATACATTTGCTGCATGAGTAAGAAGAATTTTTATATATATGAATGTTCAGCTATAAAACCTTGCCCGAATATCACGGGACTTGGAGCCGCCAATCTCTGTTAAACGAAATGGTTTGCTAGTTTGACTGCTGTCATTTAAGGATTTTGATCCTTCTCTCTGCATCCTCTATTAGAGGATAAAAACACGATTCGGGAAGTTTCTTGATCCTTCCTTCAGATGTGATTCCCTCCGCTCACTTCAGTTGTTTTGGAAGCTCATTTTAAATATCGTCTGCAAATTAATTTAGGCGCGTTTTTTTTCTCCCATTAGCGGAGAAAAGTTCCATTACTTAACGAGAGTTGAGAAATGAGTTTTTAACGTAAATTTTAAGAATCGTTCAGCAAAGTGGCTTTTAAAATAATTTTATTTTCGTTTTCTGGATATCTAAGTCTCAGTACTAAAGATATTTTTAAAATAATGTTGTAGAATAAACTGTCCTATGTTTATCTCCTCAGTATTCATGAAATTACGCATGAATTTATAATTTAATACTTTTTAGAACTCCAACGAATGATTTGTGTGAATATAACTAATTTTAAATATCGTCTGCAGTTTATTTTCCTACTCTTTTTGAAAATTACTGAAGAAAGTGTTACATGATAAAGTGTGCTTTGAAAAATTACTTTTTAACAAAAATTTTAAGTATTTTTTGCAAAGATTCGTGAAAATAATTTCCTTTTCCTTTTTTAATATATAACTCGTAAAATTGATGTTTTTGTGATAAATTAAAGCCGTAAAATAAAATTCTTTTCAGGGTATATTGTTATTCTGTATTTTCATAAATTTATCTGTGGATTTATTATATAATACATTTTTGATCTCCAGTATCTGATTGACGTAAACATATCTAATTTTGTTAAAATATCCCGTTTCATAATTAATAATTAAGTAAAAAAAAAGACTACTTGCTAATCCTAAAACTATTATGGCTGAAAAAAATTATATTTTTTCTATTAAAAATAAGCTAGTTACTGTACCAAAATGATGCTAGAAGAATATTTCGAAGCTTTTATTTTAACTCGAAATAAAATAAAAATTCTCGAGTGTTTTAGTTCATATAATGTGCTAGAAGACTTTTGAAAGGTAAGATTTCATATTTATACAGTACAATGGGCCAAATACTATGGATTACTTTTTATATAAGTATTGAAAATATTTATTTTTATTTTATAATTTTGCTTGGATTTCGGTAAGTAAAAATTCTGGTATATTTGCTTGTGAATGTAAATTAAACATTTCAAATTAACAAAATGTTTTGATTTTTCGCTTCAAAAGTTTGATACAGAATTTTGACAAAAAAATAATATTAATTTTTGGAAGGAACATTTTTGAGTGAAACTCAGAAGAAATGTATTCTGAAGAAATAACATTCATTTATCAAATTAAATTTTAAAGGCAATATAATTAATGTACTTTATATCCCTCAAAATTATATTTTGACATAATTTATATAAAATTTGCAGTACTATACCTTGAGTGTTTTTTTAAGTGCAATATTTAATAATATAGACACATAAGTAGAATGCTTGATTTTTTTTTCAGATATAACTATCTGTTTTGTTCCCTGTTTATTTATTTTAAGCATACTTATTATATAACAAAGCTAGCAATGTTATTAGCTTTAATAATTCTTTTTCTTTGGCAATTGTTTTCCTGAAAATTCTTAACTTTAGCCAAGACAAATAAATATTATAGATGTAAGAATTAATAAAGTTATACAAACAGTGTTATTTAAATAAATAAAATGTTCAGCTAAATATATTAAAACAATACTACCCGAGCTATTTGCACTACATCTAGCTAACATACATTTTACTCTACATGTAATATAAACATCCAGTTTATCGAGTATGTTGCATATCTTTACAAGGATTGGATTTAAATTTAAATCTTCGTTTATTTTTATTGAATTATTTTACTATTAGATTTAATTTACATTTCCTCATTTAAAATATATTAATACTTAATTACTTAAATTTCACCAGAACTTCATAAGTTTTATGCTTATGCTTGTTAAATTCTTAAAAATATAAACGAGTTATTTTATAACGAAGTTCCATAATTTTAACTTGAATAGTCTGCAATATATTTCTGATACAAAGAAGACGTAGTACTTCTCGGAAACGCAATTTTTCCATGATTATTAAAATAAAAGAAGATAGACTTCAACAACGAATATTTTATAATAAATATCGCTTCTCCGGTAAAATAATCATGGAATTTTGCAAGTCAGGTGTCACGTCATTTTCCATCTCTAGTTCAACCACCCCATAGTTTTCAGAGAAACAATAAACTTCGAACCGCTACTCCGAAACGTTGAAGGATGAGAAATAGCGTTGAAAAGCGCGATGAAGTTCCATAAGCTACACAATCGCAATCGGACAACCAAAAATATCTTCACAGAACATTTCTTTTAGTTGTTTGAATAGTTTTTATCTAATCTGATATATTAAAAAGGTTCTTTCATCTTGGTAAATCAAAAATACTTAACCCTTCACGGTGTTGACGGCTTGAGAGTTTCTTTTTATGGCCATTGAAATGAGAAAACAGAAATATTCAGATTTTTGCGATAAAATACATTATATTTTCAAATTTTTCTGTTAATTGAAAAAAGATTCGCTTTTCTGCAGTTGATTTTTGAGTGTAAAGTGCTAACAAGAATCATTGAGATTACTGAATACGTGAAAACTGTATAATTACTGAGTCTTTTATTTCGACTGATTTAAGCGAAATATTTTCAGTATGACTTTGTATAAAATTACACAGAAGCTTTCGAACATAATCAAATAAACTTGTATTAATATTTCAGTCAGCAAACTTTTGTTTAAGAAAAATCGTTAAAATATTCCACATTAGAGCACTACTTAAATTGCAGAAACTGTCCTTATTAGTATATTAAAAATCAAAATATGTAATTTTGTTTGGAAGATGTTTGATATCAAGCGTAAAATTAAAAGAAAAAATGTTCCATCAATTAGCTATCTAACTCATTTACAATATTAATTTTTAATTCAGTAATTAACCTTACTCTATTAGTATGAAAGTTTATTTAATGAGGGAAAATTATTCATTATAATTAATTTTCACAGAAAACTTGCAATTAAACATAAAAATCGCCTGTTTAACCTTATACTCTTTTCGATTCATTATATCAAAACTGATTTGTCATATCTATCATATGTTGTAAACTACTATTACAGAGATTTACCAGAACATTACCCCTTGTGGTGGCATTTCTATATATGATTTATCTTGCCTTATCAATTAATAATTTAAGAGTTTATTTAAAATGCTACTTTGTTCTAATTACGTCCTGTTACATCGAACTTTCTGATCCAGGCATGTTGTGAAGAAACTTATGGGTATCTGACTAAAGCAATATGTTTAGTTTGAGGGTCATATACCTGCTGTGATTGCTCATAATTTTTACTTAGCCGTTATCAGTTATAACGTATAAAGCAATTTTATCTTTAGAAACTAGTCACACTTCTATTTTTTTAAATAGTGATAAGCATTGACAAAATGGAACTTCTTTCTTGTACTTGAAATACAATTGTCATTAAAATTGTCGATCAGATATAGATTTAAATCAACGTTTATTCTTTTTATGACATGAGAGAACCTTTCGATGTCTTGAAAAGAGATACTTAGCCGTGGGGGAGACTATTTTAGTCAAATCAAATTCATCTTTATCTGGATCATGTGCCATTAAAAGCCTTATCTGACTTGGTTTGATAAGTGTGAAAGCTTGTTTGGATGCATTTAGATATGCGCAATGAAAGAATCAATATTTACTGAAGTAATGTTACATTGCTAGGCAGTGACATATTTATTTTGTGAAAGTGAAATTCTAAAAGGGATATAGCTGATATGCCATCACACAAATATGCATTGATTAGATTTTGATTACTTTATTTATTTATTTTTTTTTAAAAACTTGGCTGGCTACTTTAAAGCATTT